GGATCCACATCCCTCAGACCTATGTATACAATATCAGGTGCTGAGAGGCAAGGCTTTAGCCAGGAAAACCCAGGAAGCTGTGGCATCTGCAAGCAGAAGGTGGATACACAGCTTTATAATTTGACTGTTGGGTGTTTGACAAGCCTGATGCTTAATATTCCCCAAAAGTTCACTGTGAAGTGCTTTGCATCTCACTTATTCAGACTAAAATCTTTCCAAAGCAAAGTGTTTATTTGAAAATCAAATGCTTGGTACTAACTGCTGATGATTGCATAATACTTTGGAGAGTGGGTACGGGACTAGAAGCAAGGACAGGTTTATCAGTAATTCACTACACAACTGAGCAAGTTACTTAACCCTTCTGTGTCAGCTGTGTCCATTTCACAGGTGGATATACTTCTAGCAAAATCTTTAAGACACTTTAAATATATGGATGAGAACCACAAGAAAGCCACAGTGTCTGCCTCCTATACACAGAGCTTTAAAAATTAATCAGATGGGACATGATATGCTATGAAATGTCCTTGGAAACAGGATTTACTGTATATTAAGTGGTTAACTACAAGTCAGACCACCATGAAGGAGTAAAGCAATGGCATTAAGGTACAATAGACTAGCTGCCAGGGTCAAATCTAGTGATAAAGCACTTATGTAAGTTCTAACCAAAGCCTTCAATTAACTGAGGAGCAGCAGTCAAAAGTGCCCTGGGGTAAGGGTGAGACTGGCAAGTTTGTGAGCAGAGGTAGGTGATGCCATTGTATGGGTTGAAAGTGTCTGGTACTTTATTCACCTGGGCCAGTTTTGTAACTGGAAGTGATATTTATAGATATCACTTTAAATAGTGATATATATATCTCACTATAAAGGGGATATATATCACTATAAATATCCCCTTTTGTACAAGAAGGGAAACAGCCTAGGTCAGTGGTCTCTTAAACAGTGGCTTCTGGCTTGCACACACCTTTTTCAATGAATTTAATAAAGTTGCTTGTCTGAAATACTGAGAGTTGACTTTATTCTGATCCAAAAACAATGATCAGTGCTTTAGACAAACTGCAGTGTCTTTCTAGCATCTTTGGTGAGGCATGCAAAGTATCTTCAGATTCATGCAAATAGCTGGCCCAAGGAATAGCAGGAGTCCAGAAAACAGCTACTCCTCATCTGCCACATTTGTACAAGGCATCTTGGTGATGAGACAGATGGTGCTTAATTCTACAAGTGACTCAGCATGAGTAACTGATGTCTATAAGGATGGATGGGCAAACACAGTAGCGCTGAACTGCTTGTCCCTACAGGCAAGCTAGGGATATCTTATTTATCTGGATTACAGAAGTGGCAGTGGAGATGGAAGGGAGCAGGGCAGGTCTTAAAATTTGCAAGGTTAGGTAAGATACTATATATGCATAGCTCCTATTTAAGCCTTTTCCACCTTATGTCCCCGTGACTAAAAGAAAAGACTGTTCTCTCTTGCTGTGCGTGCATCCTGATCAGACTTCTGACAGGTACAACAGGAGCCAAAGCCCAGCCATAGCAGCTGAGGATGTGAGGTGAGTAAGCAAAAGTGGATTGCAGCCTTCTACCCTGACAGAAGTACAGATGCAGGCCTTTTACTTAGAAAGGGTGCATACAGAAAGGCTGAGTTAAGGGTCAGAGCCATAGCTAAGCCCAAGTTATCATCATCATCAATGGTACTAGAAGTGTGCCTACTGGAGTGAGCACAGAGTTGGAAGGTGGGAACTCCTATATTGCAGTTGTAACCTTGAGTAAGACAACTTGTAGGACCATCCAGTACCCTACCCTTTTGAAGGGAAAAGGGATTAGTTTGTTGGAGAAGGCTGCAGTATGCAATAGAGTATAAACTATAGAATATGCATCAGACTTCTGAGAGCAAGATATGACCAGACGGAAACTTTAAAACACCTTTTAGAATCATCTGGAAGGAGGAAGAATAAGCTACCATCCAAGCATCAGCACAGCTGGTCTGTTCAACTGGGGTAAGTAAAAGACCTGTTCATATATAATCCTTCCTTTGGTAGTTCATATGTACAGCCAAGTCAGCCAGAGTGAAGTTAAAGTAGTACTACTGATTAATCAGTGATAAGTGTTAGCAGTTGATGACAAATGATGACATTTCTTGCCCCAGTGGGAAATCATACTGTGGTCCAGTGGAGCAGAACAAAGATGCAGAGCTCTTGCAAATCAGGCCAGCTAATGTGTGATAAGCTCCTGAAGTGTGAAACAATTGGTATTGCTACTTGTCACTATGCGCACTTGCAGGTGGAGGGAGAGCACATCTTTCAAGGCTAGCCTGAGCTTCTCATGGGGCAGTGCAGGGCTAGACTGGTCCCTGTCTAAACCCTTTTCTGCTTCCTCCGTTTCACATTACCTAAATTTAGGTTGTTCTTACATCTTTCTTACTTACTGACCCCAGAGGGCCATCACCAGTATTATCCTTTCAACAGCTTTCAGAACCTTGCTCTTTTGTCCCTCACACAGGAAAAGTCCAGTTAGTCAAAAGACAAAGTGTTTGGGAGGGAAGGTTACCTAGAGAGGTGGCAGAATCTCCATCCCTGCAGGCTTTTAAGGCCCAGCTCAACAAAGCCCTGGCTGGAATGACCGAGTTGGGGATGGTCCTGCTCAGGTTGGACTAGATGACCTCCTAAGGTTCCTTCCAACCCTAATTTTCTATTAAACAAACTGTAGACCTTTTCTTTCCTATAGGAAAAAGCAATTTGAGATTTACTTTTCTTTTTCTCCAGCTCTGAAAGACTCACTTGACCTGTTCCTTTCCCACCTAGGCAGCTGTTGGCCCCTGGTCAAATGTGTCCTTTCCTCAGTGTTCTCCTTCTTGTGTCCTCCATGGAGTAGAGATGACCCTCTGAGAGCTTTGAGGCATCTCTTCTGTGGGTAGGAGTTTGGGTGTGTGTTTAACGCTAGTATGCCCAAAACAAAGGATTTCAACTACCAGAGGCCCTCACTGATGCCCATGTCCATCCTCTCAGGATGTCTTGGCATAATTTCCTTCCCTTCTGATGCAAGATATGTTGCAAGGAATATTAGTATCCTTCCTTAAACCTCAGGCATAACCTCCAGCATGAGACATAACCTCTGGCATGGAAGGTCAACCTTCATAACAGACTGCACTGGGTATGTGGCATGTCCAACCACATGTTGTTATAGAGGTTCTGGACTACAGCTGAAGCAGATCAGTTATAAAGGCCTTAGGTCATCCTAATATTTAGTCTCTGATAGCAGCTGTGTACAGGTCAAAAGCTCTTGTTAAATTGACCCCTTTAAAAAAGGCAGAGGTTATCTTTTGGCAGACTTTTTTTTTTTTTTTTTTTTTTTTTTTTTTTTTTTTTTTTTAAACCAAGCAGGCTCCAGCAATCCTGAATTGTAACAGTGTAGCCAGTCAGGAGAAACTATGCAGGACCTGCCCCTGACAGGCCTCAAAGTTGTCAAAAAACAGGGAGTAAGAAATACGTAAACTATGAAGGGAGCAGCTACCAGCTGAGGATGCTCAGAACAGCTCTTCCAGACTCCCGTTTTGGCTCGCGTGACAAAATTGTTGCTCGCATACTGTGACCGTCTTTTGGCTGGAAAAATACTAGGAGCCAGTGTCTAGCTGCTGGCTAGAAGCCCCTGCTCATCCATTAAGTGCTGACCTAGGATTGCCCAGGGTGAACTAATGAGACATGAAGCTTCTCTATATCCCAAATAGCTATATTTAGGACACCACCCCTTAACAAGAGCCTCAGAAACCAAGATTTAAACAAGGGACTACCTCTGCCCTGGAGGGAAAGCCTACCAGGAGAAGAGCAAAGTGCATTATGGGAGGGATTAGATTATGCTGCCAGCACATCATCTCATTGGGAAATAAAGGGCGGGGAGGGGATGAGAGTCTGCCCCTTTCATCAGACTTGAAAATGAACAGTGCTGTGCAGTTACGTCATCGTACGTGTAAAAAGTCAGAGCCACTTACTTTATCCTGGAGCTCTCGCAAGAGAAATGAGACTGGTTGTCCATGGAGGTTTCCAGACTGGGTTGTGAGTGGGGTATTGACATCAGCATGTGCGTCCACCCAGATCACACAGAGGTGTGGGCACTGTCGTGTATGGCCACTAATGGCACCAAGCGCCAAGCTGGAGAAGACACAGAGCAAATCTTTACTCAGGTTGGGAAAACATACATCCCCTCGTGAACACATTCAGAGTGACTGTAACTCAGGGCAGCCAGCAAGGTTGCCTTGTTTTATATAAAGCTGTTTGTGGTGAGGATGCCTCAATGAGACCCACCATTACCACTGAGACAAGCATTTCTGAAAGATTTTAAGGAATGAGAAGTAAACTGGTACTGGGAGATAGCTTAGTGGCACAAGGGACAAGCCCTCAAATTTATTTTTAAGTATGTAAAAAGGCAGTAGGTCGCATGTTGCCTGACCATGTACATTTACGCTAAAAGGGCAGCTTCATTGTTTTTACCATTGCCAAATTCTTCTGAAATGTGCAATCAGTCACTTCTGTAACTCTCCAAGATTATCTTTTTGTTGCCCCCTTCAGTACCTTGGTTCTCACAGGGTTAAAAATGCTATTTCACCACATGATAAGTGCTACAGAGGGGGAAGATAAGATTTTCAGCACTGCAAGGACTAGGAGTGGCAGAGATTCACTGATGTGATTGCTTGAAGAACTTGGATACAGGCTTTCAGTTATTTCTATTCACTTTCAAGTAAAGTTGCCTGATCCAAGCCCTGTGGCACTTCAGTAATGAAGGAGCCACCTTCTTTCTACCCCCGTTTAATTCTCTATTTTGATTTACACTACTAAAAAGACAGTGCCCTTGCCAGAAAGCAGGGTTAATCTGAAGATTAAGACAGATCAATGACACTGAATGCATCTCAGCTCACCTGTGGTCACCTCCTATGGTTACACAGCTATGCCCAGCAGCCACTGCTCCACTTACAGCATCAGCCAGCACTTGGCTGGCTAATCCCACAGACCGTGGGTATTTTACCAGGTTGTTGTACAGCTCATCATTAGGCACCTGAGTAAAATTCAGATCTCCAAAATCATATACTCGGCAGCCTGAAAAAAAGAGAGCAAAAAAACAAAGGGATGGGGAGCTCATCTTGGATTCAAGTACCCAAACAGGCATTCAAAATACAGTCCTCTCCAAGTTTAACTGGGTAAATAAACAATATGGATGTGTGATGTAGACTGAATGACTAAAGTGAATTAATTGGTTCTCAAGAGCATGTAAGTGGCTACCCTTGAAACATCTCATAGCTTCAAAGGTTATAGAGCTCAGGGTAATATCCCCCTTCCCACATTTACAGATATAAATAGATGAACCAGTAAAAACTTATCTGGAAAGGGAAGGGGGAAAATAAGGAAATGCAAATTTCCCAAATTTGACATGGAATTAATCCACATATGCTCTCTTATCAACCTAGTCATTTTTGTACCGCTGCCAGATCCTGGCTAAGATCAAAAGTACCAAAGCCATCATAAAGGCAGCTGTTCTTACGGCTTTTTCCAGCCACCTACAAGCAGGATGTACGAACAGTCTGGTAAAAGACACTATTCATTTGCCTTCGTGAAAGCAAAGAGAAATTGTTTTACTTTAGATTCTGTGATGCTGCCTAATTTCCAGCTTGCTAGGGGAACATAATCTATAGGCTATATCAATCAGGCTCAGGTTGTTTGAGGCCTGAGAAAGAGAAGATAACATATTGGCAGATACCAGTTTTGAGAACAGATACACCTCCATTTCACAAGAGTTGCAAAATAGTCTCCCCTGTGGTTTATGCTCTTTAGCCCACTACAGATTGTCAGGCTGCTGTCTTCCTTGGACAGGTTTGCCCATGAGTTAGTTCAAACACAGCATTGGTTTGGCCATGAAAGAGAGAGAGCTCTGAAACATGAAGACAGCTTTGGCCCGAGCCAAGCACTTTACCCAGCTCTGCAACACAATCACCTCAAGGGTGCTCCCCCCATCCCTCTGGGACATAGCTGACCACATCAGCAAAAAAATGCTGAAGGAGTCTCAGATCTACTCAGCAAATGGCAGGGGTTGCTAGGTCTCCAGTTTCTTGTTAGATTTTCCTGAAAAGCCTCTCCACACATATACACATCCTTCTCTTTTAGTCTTCCTTAAAAAGGGATGATGAGAATAGGTGAAAAGGACTGGAAAAACACTAGTGGAAGCAAGACAAAAAAATACAGGAAGGCAGGCATGCAGCAAGTATCAAGTATCCTGGGCAGATACTCTCTGAATAATTGAAATTTTCCAAGTTCCTTTCATCTGTCACAGTGTTTAACAGAGATCAAGCTCATATGGGCAGGTGCCCGCAAGTGACTTGCAGTAGCTTAGAGATCATGATACAGAAAGGTGGCTTCATCCCTCCTGTACAGAGAAGCGGAGCACAAGGCTGCCCCTCTTCTTATTCATAGATGCTAGGGTCGGAAGGGACCTCAATAGATCATCAAGTCCAACCCCCTGCATAGGCAGGAAAGAGGGCTGGGTCTAGATGACCCCAGCTAGATGCTTATCTAACCTCCTCTTGAAGACAAGAGGGAGGGGTAAAGAGATGGGATTCCTACAGTTGATCATATCCTGATATTTTCATAATCAGTATGTTTTTTTCTATTACACAGTTCTAAAAATACAGCCCTAAGGTAATTTCAGTAGTGTAAAATAAGGGACTACCCTCCCATACAGGATTTTGACAAAGGTGGTTTTAAAAGTTCAGAGCTATCCTGAAAGCAAGCTAATGGGTAAGGGGTTGGACTTCAGAAAGAGTTACCTCCCCATATCCTGCTATTTTTTATGGACATAACCTTATTTAAAAAAATCAAACAAACAAAAAAAAACCCACAAAGGGATTTGGGGTAATTAGCATCCGTTTTTAACTACTAGAGGTTACTTACTGCAATCACCATCAAATCCATAAGCCTACACAAGATAATTTGTGAAAAAGCTGGATGGTACATGCCTTTGTAAACACCAAGATAGGAGCTGCTATATCTGAGAAGCTCTTGTGGTCACCAGGACTCTAAAGGTGTCTCACCAATTGCCCTGGTTTGTGTGATGTCTCCTCTCTTTATGGTATTTGTATATAGACAAGTGCTTTAATCACTCTCCAGCATTAAAGGCAGAAAAAAAGCCACAGTAAATGGCCAAAGAGGGATAGGTCAGCTGCCTGGGTTTCCTCTCCTGGGGGAGTGTGGCTCTTACCCACACCAAATGCTTCCTATAGCTGCAGAGCCCAGCTCAAGCTTTCTTGGACATCCTGCATATTCTCAGCAATCACCACCGCCACCCCCACAGGAACAGGCAACTGCAGGCTCTCATCCTAGCCTAGAACCGTTAGGACTTACTCCTTTCTCTAGAGTATTAAATGACTACTACACATCCCCCTTGAAAGACTAGAGTTGTGTGCATGCGCTTTACAGACAAGGAACCTATGATGAGTTAAAAAAAATCTGCATATTAGCACAAAGAACAGCAAGGAGGAATGTGTTGATACTTGATAGTAAACAGTGTGGGATATGAAATATGTATTTATAAATATACTCACTAGGGCCAGGTGGCTGGCTGGCCTGACCAATCAGCCAGGGGCCACAGTTAGAATGGAGTTGAACATGTAGTTCTAGCTTCTATTCACTTCTCTGCCTGCTACGTGGCAGGCTGAACAAGAATTTATGGATGCTTTCATTTCATTAATGTCTAGTTTACTTGCATTTGTCATTTTTCCAATCAATTTCTCCATCAAGCCCTTACACACTAGAACAGGGGTCAGCAACCTATGGCTGGGGGTGAGGGGTGCACTTCAGCAGTGTTTGATGGCAGGAGACTTTCCAGCGTTGGCTTGCCGTGTGCCCAAGTTGGGTCATTCTGGCTTGCTGCCTGAAAAAGGTGCCAAGTGCCACACTAGAACAATGATGCAATGTTTGGACTGCAGTCCGATAAACACAACGTCATTTGTTTATCAATGACACTTACCAGTGTATTGAACCATTTCAGGATAACATTTTAATTGATTTTTAGAATTTCTAAAACCAAGACTTACAGCTACATTTTGTCATCCAGTTTAGGAACATGGAAACTTCCATGCTTGACTATACCAGTGATTCATCCAGACTAGTCTTAAAAAACAACAACAACAAAACAGAACAAAACGTAATTTGACTGTTAAACAAGCACATAAGGTTAGCAGCACCTCGAGAGAGAATTGTTTCCCCTCTATCCCTCACAGAAAGGCATTTGAAACACTTTAAATGAAGGATGCTAAAATGTAGTAGCTCCAAGTTGAAAGAGAAAAACAACCAAGCAAAAAACCTCACCCACCCTTAAAATCATACTGCTATTCCAGTAACATAGCCCTACTCCAACATTTTCTCCCAAGAATTCCAAAGCACTTAACATGTCTTAGTATTACAAGCCTCTGTTAATTGTTATTAGAGCAAAAGATGTGGAAAACTGAGGTACAGTGTAGTTAATTAGCTTGCCCAAGGACATACACAAAAGTATACGAAAGATCCAGGGACAGAGCAAAATCTCGTGTGACATCACTGTAAAAAGCCACGTCTATGCTTCTGTTTCCTATATCTCCATTTGAATTAATGTTTTCTACGGTTAAGAACAGCAGCCATATCTTATACCTAGTGTATAAGATTTGCATGCAAGTGTGTGCACAAGACAATTCAACAGCACGCACACATCCCTCTGCTGTCCCACAGTCAGCATCTTAGGAGATTTCCTTTTTGCTCTTCTACCTTCCTTGAACCTTCTTTTTTAGATTAGTAGAATCTACTTGCCTTGCTGTTATCAGTCTTAAAATAATTTTTAAAAAAAAAAATTTTAAATGAGTGGCTAGACTGTTCTAAAAAGAAAAAATGGTGCCAAGAGACAGGTGGGCAGTTGCAAGTCAGCTTCCATGTATGCATCAGCAGCACCCAAGCAGTTCTGTCACTGCCCCTCCATCCTGAACTACAGCATTCTCTGCTGTTCCTGAATATAGACTGGCAGTTGTGCCAAACTGCTTTTATTCATGCAGGGAAGAAGCATTTTTGGAAAACATGGGTGTGAATGGAAAATTCATTATGTTTGTGACCCAAGCAGTAAGCAGCAGTTTAAACAACGAATGAAAGGAAGACACAGCTTGTTAAGGACTCAATGGTTGACAATTTAAGTGAATTTTTCTGGTTTGCATGAAAATTAGGACTACAGTCTTATTTGTCAATGCTACATCTAAAAGGGATTCTGAGCCCACAGATGAAGAAATAATTCCCATTCATCCCATTCTACTCAGGAGAACTTTTACAATCTTTTCTCCAATGCCTGATGATGGGCGTTTGTGCCCAAACGCTTGCAATTAAAGAATTTTTTTTGAAAAATCTTGTTGCTCTAATAAAAGATATCACCTCTACTATGAGTCCCGATTGCTTTTTTCTTTAGACCAATACGACTACAACCTGGATACCTTTTATCCTCAACACTTCTACCCACTTGCTATTGGGCTAAAGCTGCTTCTTAGGCTAAAATCAGACTTTCTCTGGGGACAAAGCCTTTTATCCCGGGATCCTACAGCTATACGAGCCCACTGTCCCACTCTAAACCAGTACGAGGTATCCAAGATATCATTCCCTCTTCTCCCTTTACAATCATGACTTAAGTTAATTGCCATTCAACCTGCATGCGTACATGCATGCACAATTGTCCTGAGCCAGTTTTGATGCTCATCAAAACCCAGGATAAACCCGATTTCTGTTTTCACATTTGGATACCATCACCCCCTACCAAGACAAGAGATAACTGGGTACCTCTGTATAACAAAATGAGTAAGAGGGAAATCTCAGGAAAGCATAACAAAAGATAGCAGGGGCTGGATTAGTTAATCTATGGTGAAAGATTAAAAAGGATGTTAAATGAATTTGGCTAAAGCTTTAAAAAAATAAAAGCCCAAATAAAATGATTATGAAAATATTTTCACACCAATAGATAGTTTGTATTCTTATGAAAAAACGTTCCCTCCTGCAGCGTTTAGGCTGCACCTCCAACACTTCGTTAGTTATTAAGAAACGTGAAATTTGAATGGAATGAAAAGAAGAATCCTGTACACTGCCTTTGTGGTTCAAAACAGATTGGAGCAGAAAGAAAACATGCTGCCTACTTTACCTATTTGATAACATTCTTTGTCAAAACAGAAGCAAAGTCCCTAGTAGTGGACTTAGTAGGGTATAAATCAGGGGTGGGCAATTATTTGGGTTGGAGGGCCACTTAGGGAGCTTTGGTGACAGGCTAGGTCAGTAACCCCTCCGTCTCCCCCTTCACAACAGCTCACCAAAACTCCCTAAGTGGCTCTGTCTCAGGGCCTGATCCCACACTGTCACCACCTGGTGATCCTGGGGTCTCCATGGAGGCCAGCCCAGGACCCGTGTGGGCAGGGTACACTCACCCAGGTAGATGGGATGGGGCCGTGGTCAGGTGGGAAGCAGCGTGGGTGCAGAGCGAACAGGCCAGGGTGCTCAGGCAGCAGGGCTAGGCCTGGCAGCAGTGGCAATGACACTAACGGTGGCAGCCAGGAGCCACTGCTGCCAGGAAGCAAATTTTGCAGCTGTGCCAACCCAGCCCCGCTGTATGCCTGGGGATGGTGGGACTGGCCACACATGCCACAGCCCAGGCTGCCCCCCCACACTTGGGCCAGGCAGGCTGGATAAAAATCTCTTGGTGGGCCATATCTTGCTCACTCTTGGTATAAATTGACCAATAAGGTCTCTAGATTTTGCTGCTGGAGGCAACTCATTGCCACAAGCGGCATTTCATGTAGAGGTGGTTTACCTATGTCAGAAAAGTCATGTTGCCAATCTTGAAAGTAGTGCATGTAGCCACCACGTTGGGAACCAAGTTGGCTGCTGTGAATTCACATTTTGGTCAATATTTCAGCCCCCAGTAGGGTTAGAAAAGTAATTAATGACAAAACCAACATTGTATGAACTGAGGAGATCAATCATAACATTTTCAACATGGCAGTCATGTTGGATTCCAAGATGGCTGCCACAAATTTACAGTTTTGCTCATTATTAGATACCCAGAGAGATTTATCTCCCTTAAGCAAATGTGACAATAGAGCCGACAGCATCATGGCACCCAGCAAGGCACGGAGAATCTACAAGATGTATCATGGTCTCAAAGTAGGTTCGCAGTCAATGGTTAGCCAAAGTAGAAGAAACGAGGCATTTGTTCAATGTAGAACATTTGCTGAATTCAACACCTGTTATGGCAGTATTCTTGATAGACATCATGTTGTGTTGATCCTGTGCTGTGTGTTAGGTTAACTATGCCATCAGCAGTTTTGCAAACCTTGTTAATGTGCTCTATTTCCTGGTTGGTTGAAATGTTTACAAAATGGGAGATTAGTTGTCTTGACCCCTAATCCTCCTTCCTTTGCACTGTAGGAGCAAAAACTGCTAAATCCTTCATACATTCCAGATATACTGGAACCCATCTTGTATAACTGGTATGATCATGCACAGCTGTAAGCGGAAGCATTTGTTCAAAGGCACATGCCACGTTCATGCCAGTTTCCTTCATGTTCAGCTGTGATTAAGCATGAGAGTATTGACTGTTTCCAAAAGGTTCATTCAGTATTTGAACATACCTTGATGCAAGTGTTCTTCCACAAATTCTTGAAGTAAAGTGACAATTGTTGACCTCATTCCTTCTCGCTTTGCAGTCATCGTTTCTGAATGCAACAGCTATGCTACTGGAAAGGCAGTTAATGGTATCATAATCTAATCCTTTGCTTGAACTGGACAACCATACAATTAATTTGTTCATCAGAATATACCATATTGCTTCAAATGTTATTTTGTGTGCTTTTATAGCACGGTTGTACAATTTTCCTTTCATTATGTTGGTGGCAGTGTTTTCTGGAAATAATCTACCTCCTGTCCAACCACCTTCAAGTCATAAAGCAGTGAAATGCTGATCAATTGCTGTTAGGTAAATGACAATGATATGGAAGCCTTGCAGCTGAATGATTACTCCTTCAGTCTCTTTTGATCGAGCCCATGCAGGTTTTGCAATACAATGCCCGATCAAATGTTATGACTGTGTGCTGTTGTCCCAGGCATCCAGTAATTGTTTTACACTGCATGGACAGTCCAAATGGTGTTGTACTCAGATGGTGGTGCAGGCCATGTGAAACAAAAATCCAACAATTGATGATACCACCATCAGAAAGAAACTGGTTAAACGCTCTCCATACTGGTACGGCAACGTTCTCCTGGTTGTTGGTTGATATTCTACCCAGTATTCATGGTAGCTTTGCTGACATCTGTTAAACAGCTGTGTTGTTGAGCTTTTCATTTGTGCAACTACCCATACAATGGACAGGTGGTTTCAATGACTCATTATAGATCATCATCGCCAGAACAATTTGTTAAATTCAGGTGGTACTTCTTTCAAGGTTCTTTTCCTTATTACATTGGTGCTTTCTTCAGTCTCAATTGGTTTTGATGGTCCTCTTTTAAATGCTACAAATTTGTGTTGCATTAAATGTTTGTTTTCTATTTGCTGTCTCCAAGATGTTGATGTTGTCCAGTGAAAACTGAACAAAATGACTGGGAATTAGATTCCGTAAGAAAACAACTCAATTTTCCCGCAATTTCTTTAAGTTTCTCAGGAATGGTGGTCTTAACGCAACGAACTGTGCTATACAGTATGCTGCATCCAGCATTGTGGAGACTTTATACCAGCTTCTTAGATCTAGTTACATGATGCATCAGCAAGTTTAACTCAACATGTTTTGGCATTAGCTTTTTGCCCTTTAATTGCAGGTAAACCAAATCCTGACATATATTCAGTACATTGTCATCTAGATTCTTATCTTGCGCACAGCTTTCAGCAATCTAAGTTATCACTGTCATCTTCCAAAAATCAAACAGATCAATGTGTAAAGGCCTATCAGGAACACAATTTTGGGTTTGTTCTTCATTCAAGTTGCTGTATCCCTTGTACAGCTTTACCAGTTGTCACAGTTTGGAAGATAAGTTGGTGTTGAAACTGAACGGCTGTCTTGTAGTAAGACTGAAGTTCTTGCTGCATTTACTTCAGTGTGGTCAGAAGATCTTCACACCACCTTCATCTTCTACTAAATTGCAATACCTTTCGAGTATACCTTTCAGACTGTACACATATTTCTGTGGAAAACCGGCATCTAGTTCGTCAATCACTTGAGGCTATGCTCTTGCTTCAGGAGAAAGAAAAATACCTTCTTATGCAAACTCCATGTGCGAATGGGAACAAGAGACTTCTTGCTTCCATTGTTCTTCCTGCCTGCATTCAGGATGGTAACGTGCCTCAGCAGCTATTAAATCTTCGACACCAATTCAGCAACGCAATACTTCATTCTTCTCTGCCGGTTTGTGTATTGCATTGGCCAATTCAAATGACAACACTCAACTCAGGCTCTTCTTCATAGACATTAGGGCTAGAAGGGACCTCAGAAGATTAATGAGTCCAGCCCCCTGCCCCAGGGGCAGGAAGTCAGCTAGGGTCAACAGTTCCCAGCAAGATAAGCGTCCAAATGTTTCTTAAGAGTGTTCAGAGTAGGTGCTTGCACCACCTCTGGAGGGAGTCTATTCCAGGCCTTGTGGGCTTGGACAGTAAAGAAGTTTTTCCTTATGTCCAGCCTCAAATGGTCGTGGAAGAGTTTGTGACCATTGGATCTTGTCATCCCTTGGGGCACTCTGGTGAACAGCTGTTCCCCCAGATCCTGATGCACACCCCTTATATACTTACAGGCTGCCACCAGTTCATCCATGAGTCCGCACTTTTCCAGGCTGAAGTGTCCCATGGCTCTCAGCCTCTCTTCATGAGGCCTGTTCTCTTGCCCTCTGATCATGTATATGGCTCTCCTCTGGACTCTCTCAAGCTTCTCCACATCCTTCTTGAACTGTGAAGCCCAAAATTGGATGTAGTACTCCAGCTGCAGCTTCACCAAGGCCAAGTAAAGTGGGAGGATAACATCCTGCGATTTTCTTGAGAAGAAGCATCTCTGGATGCAAGCCAGAGTTCTGTTTGTTTTACCAGCTGCAACATCACATTGGTGGCTCATGTTCATCTTGTGGTCAATCATGACTCCCCCAGCCCATGTCAGCCATGGTGCTAGCAAGCATAGCACTGCCGAGCCTAGAAGTGTGATGCGGGTTTCCCCCCACCCCAGCCCAAGGTGGAGTGCCTTACATTTTTCTGTTTTGAATGTCATCAGGTTTTTATCCATCCACTTTCTAAGCTTATCAAGGTCAGCCTGGATCACTAGCCTATCTTTGGGTAGGGTAAGTTTGGTGTCATCGGTGAACTTGGCTAGTCCACTTCGGACACCAGCATCCACATCATTAATAAAGACATTACAGAGTACAGGTCCAAGGA